TGATGTCTAATAATTTAATGAATTGTTATGTATAGGAACTTGCCCAAGAGCACAAAAAACCAGCTCCACTTAAAAACTTTGTTTTATTGGATGAAACGTTTGTGCTAATAAGAAGACCAGATCGGAGAGAGAAAAGAAATTTCATTTTGGAGATCATATACTGATTCCTCAGATTATGTTGGAGTTTTCTGGCGATTTAGTTTCTCACCAGAACACAAGCAATATAAATTATATGAATGTGTTTATAGTTAAAATGTGTCAATGCATTTGTATCCCAAAAAGTTACTTCCTCAGCAGTCAGGCAACAGAAGTTTTCATTAAAATCTTGCATAACTTTTGTTGGCATCAGTGATCCAAATAGGCTAATGCTCCAAGTCAGGATTATCTTTTGAGTCTTTGATTGTTCAAATACAGAGTCAGAATGCATATCTGGACTAATATGAAAAGGCAGTAGGTTATAACAAGATGACCATGTGAAAGATATATCAGAGACAGAACAGCTCTTCTCCTTGGCTGCACTTCCTTGATGAAACCTTGAGACAGCAAGCAGGGGAGGAGTTTCATTTGCTATATAGAAAGACAGACACAGAATTATTTCCTAAGAGCCGACATAAAAAAGTCATCTGCAACTGGACAGATTTCTGAAATGCTGACAATGGAAGTGTTTAAAGCCCTGTGCTGCAGGTCACTATTCCTCTCTAGTGAACAGGAGCTGTTATATCCCGCCTTGCATTGATTTACCATTACTGAACGGATTCCTCATTTTAACAAAACATATCATTAGATGCTAGGTAAGTCTTTGACAATTCTTTACACTGGCCTATGGAATTCAATGGCCACCATTAATTTCACTCTGGTATTTATCAGCAGAAGCTTTTTTCCTGCATGAACCAATTTATTTAATTGAATAGTTTAAAGGGCTCCAAAACCACATACAAAAGATGAGGTTATAGCTAACAGCTTTCAAATATACTTAAAAGCTTGAATCATTAGCAGTTGCTTAAACCAGGAATTTTTAAGTGCAAGCCAGAATTTATTGCAAACTAGTCTTAGTATTGTGATTTTTCACATTTCATTTTTTCACAAATACAGCAGGCAGTTAAAATATTGTGCTGTATTTAGGAATAAAGCCTGTACTTTGCTGTCCTTCCACTTTCCACCTTTTGGCATTCCTGGAATATTACATGCATCATTTCCTCAATTTATTATCTGAGTATTAAATTCTTAAACACTTATCCCCCACAATTCTCTTAAATGGTAAATAAATCCAGTTCCTCAAATTTCACAAAAACCTGAGGCACGCAATTCCAGAAGAACTGGAATGCTGTAATGCCATTCCAGATAAGAAATTTTTGGCTCCCTATGCATTAGAAGTAACAGACATCAAAGGATGGCACATGGGAAACTCCTTCAGTGCAGTAGCTATTGGGAGATTGCAGCCCTACACACAAAATGCACCTGGAGGTGAGAGAATCTCCTTTCTAGCTCTTAAACATGCAAATATTTTGATATTCTCACAAAAAAAAAGGGAAAAAAATTCTGTACATGGCTCATTGCTGAATGCCCTGAGGATAAGCAATGAGTTGCCACTGAGCAAGATGCAGGTTCAGATCTACTCCAGGAGGGAATATCCAATTTCTTTGTGTCCAATCAGTGGGCTAGGGAATGACAACAATGGTATTATCCCCACACTTCCTCTGATCAAAGAAGTTCTGCACGTGACTTGGTATGGATTAGGTATGTATGTCATAAGATCAAACACTACAAATGAAAAATGAATGCCAGCATAGTTCCTCTTAGCTTTATGCTATGTGGATATAAAAGTGAATAAATTAATTTTCAAGACCTGAAAATCACCACCTGTGACACATACGAGTGGAAAACAACACCACATTGACAACCTGTTAAATGGTACTACTAATCTGAGATTATCCCTTCTTGCCTTTTCTACACAACAATAAAGTCTAATATACTTTTTCAGAATTATGATAAGTGTCAAAAAAATTAGGGAAAACCTAAGGTTCTCTGAAGAACTGAAGAAAATCCTGCAGAAATTGATAGTAAGATTGCTATCAATATGTTTGGAACAGGTCCAAAATCATTATCTCTGACATTAACATAAAGAAATTGCAGCTGTTTGCATTTATAATTCCCTTTAGCAACAATGTAAGAATGTACTAGGACAGAACAGAGTTAACCCTTTCTCAGGCATGCTTTACATGCAGAGTTTGGGTTTTAAAAATTCCTTATCTTGGTTTCTGAAAGAATATGAGTTTGGTAACTTGGGTTTTTTCTTTTGCTGTGGTTTTTGTTTGTTTGGAGTAAGCAATTCTGTCTGTATATAACCACAGAAAAATATGGCATTTTAAATTATTCATCAAGTTAAGCTGTTCTCTGCATTTGATCACCCTTAACCATGAAGTAAGGGTGCAGGAGCTTCAAAGGAATAAGTACCTTTCTGGGAAAAAAAAAAAAAAAGCCACAATTATATCATGTACTATGAACTTCAAAGACTAAAACTGAATGGAAAATTCTGAAAGTTTGCATTAAAAAAACCCAACAAACTTCTATTCACTTCAGTGGAAATTTATTGAGTTAAATAAGATGAAATATCTCTAGATCTAACCTATTAATTCCAAGTAAAGAAAAATGCAATGCAATACAGTGCAATGATGATGGCAGCCAAGAGTCAGATTCTTTTACTTTGGACCAGAGGGCACAAACTCAGTCTTGAACTATAACTTAAAAACCCAAAACAATATTTAACCTTTACCTTGATATTGCACAAGATGCCAACTACTGTACAGCCCATAAATACAGAGTATTTAATAAAATGACATACCTATTAGATAAATTACTAAATCTAGACATATCTACTTGTTTTAACAATTACACTGGTTGTGGACTTACCCCTGCATGGGTTTTTAATAATTTGCATATCATGTGTTACAAGACACAAATAATTATATTCTTTCATATATTAGAAATCATAAAATTATTTGTTCAGTTTCCTATGAACTCATGTTTTACAATACATATGACAAAACCCTACAAGCCAAAACAAGAATACTTCTGCTATTTACATATTGTGATAAATAATGCAACAAACATAAGTGGAAATGAGAACAAAAAAAATATAATATAATATTAAATACAGTGAAAAATCTCTTTTGCAATCATTCTGTATGTTTTCTGCCTCTTTCAGACTACATTAAATTCTAAATATGTAAAGACATCCAGTCTTCTTTACAGTATGTATTTATGTAGTTCAGATCATGGAGTATGAAAAAGTCATAGGCAGTACAAATGCTTATGCATATTTTTCTCCTAGCAAAGCAATTTTCTAGTTGTTTTTTGAATAACCATCAAATAATTAGGTTAAGAACAAAATGATAGTAAAAACTATCTGTTACTAGACATACAAAAAATAATGCCCCTTTCAGAGAGTGGAAGTAACTCCCCTGAATTCATAACTTGTCTGATAATTAATTAGAATTAAACATCAATTGACTACTAGAACCATACCAGCACTTTTTATGTAACAGGAATGTTCTTTTCATCTAGTACAGAAAGTTTTGAAATAAACCCAAAGAGCTAAATATGTTTGGAGACACCTGCATCTGCAACTTTCAGTTAGCTCCATTTTAGCTGCAAATCTGTCAAAATACTTCATTGAAATACACCCTGAAAGTTCAGGAAATTGGAAATTAAGTCCATACATGAACTTTACAGCTGGAGCTTCTTTAGTTACAATGCAGCTTGAGCTAAACCACATAAACAAAATTATTTCAAACAATATTCATTGTAAGCAAAGTATAAACTCATATATGACAATCACTGAAAGTGTTTTTCATTTCAAAATTATAGAGACACCTCTTTGTATTGTGGCCTGAAGCAAGTATCACTGATCATTTTCAGTATGCCGGAACAAGGATATTGGTAACAAATTTTCATGACAGACACACACACTCAATGAGATAATAAATTAGTTTCCCAAGTGAAGGCTCACTAATAAGATTGGATCTAAAATTTAGGCCACTTAATTTTAAGACTCAGCTAATGGGCTAAAAAAAAACCCCAGTATAACTTCATAACATAAATTCAGGTTCAATCTTTTTTACCATAAACATTAGCACCATTGTAAAGTTGCAAAGAGTAAGCTTCTTGTAAAATGAAATTATCTAATTGTAAAATGCATTTGATATCTCCTTGCATGGAGGTTATTACTAAAAGAAAAATAAAATATTCTGTATTACATTATGAAGTTATAAAATTTAAGCAATTAATTTTTAGTGCTGTGTAAGGTCTGATGTCACTGGAAAGATAAATTTGTAAAACTTCTTTCCAATATGATTTATTGATTCTATTTCAAATAGAGTGCTTCTTTTATTTGCAAATACCAGGCCTATTATACAATCAAAAAACTTTACCTTTTCTTCTTTAGTATTCAGAGGTGACAAGAGTGTGAAAACCCTTTAACTCCTTGACAATCACATGAGAAAACTCCTAGCCTGATAAAGTTAGAAACAGGACATTTGGCTTGTCTCACACAGAAATAAAGTATTGTGAACTCTACTCCCAGCTTGCTCTGATTTCTAGAGGAAGTTCTTTTAAAATAATATACCAACAAATTTTCCACTTACAAAGAAAAGAAATTTTTCTGAGGGGGATGTTTTACAAGGTTGTGTAGTGATAGAACAAGGGGCAATGTATTTAAAGTGAAAGTGGATAGATTTAGCTTAAACATAAGGAAGAAATTCTTTATTGTGAAGGTGGTGAGGCACTGGAGCAGGTTGCCTGAAGTTCTGGATGGCCCATCCTTGGGAGAGTTCAAGAGTGAATGAAGCCTTAAGTATCCTGGTCAAGTGGAAGGTGTCCCTGCCCATGGCAGGCAGTTGGAACTGGATGATTTCTAAGGTCCTTTCCAACCCAAGCCACTCTATTATTTTTAATGTATTGCAAATCCCCCTTCTCAGTCTTTCGGAGTGTCCAAAACTTACCATTTCCATTCTCTACTCTGGCCAATGGCTCTCTGCAAATTGCTGTCTTTCTCAAGGGATTAATAGTCCTTTGAACTTCTGCCAGCAGCACTGCTTGCATTGCCTCAACAATCTGTCATAAATGAAAATTATTATTGGATTATATCAGTACCTCAATTATTTATCGAAGTATTTGACAATTTTAACCAACTTGAACAAAATCTGGAGACTGTCCTGGTCAATGTCATTAGAAAAATAAGTCTTTCACACAGTGATAATCCTGTGTCTCTACATGCACACCAACAAAAAAAAAAAAGGTTAGCTAGATAGCAATAAAATAGTGTAAGTTATCCGTCAGGACTTCTTCCCAATAAACATTCATTTTCTTTAATGTCAAATCTAGAATCAGTCACCTACTGCCTCCTTGATTTCAAGGATAAACAATTACTAACAAAATATAGCAAAACAAGGTGATAACAGCTAATAAGTATGTTCATTTTTTTTTTCTGATGTGTGCAAAAGTGCATGACAGACTGAATAATGACCTTGTTGTCTTGGGGTGACTTGGTTTTGACTGTTTTAGAATTTCTGGTATCTAATCTCTCTGATAAAATTAAATAATGTTTTGTTGTTAGTAGTGATGCTCTATTCCTCTAGCTAAAACATACTACCCCCAAATTTTTTGTCTAACACAGAGAGAAATATCATTCCTCCAATCCCTCTTATGGAAAAGAAACATCCACTGGAGTTGTGAGCAGCCTGTAAATGGCACTTGCAGTAGCTGATGTACCTCATGTGGGCATTAGGACAATGCAATGTGGAGACTGTCTGACAGAGTTAATATTTTCCTTCTCTTTAGCAAAAGAGTGCCATAAGAACTAAGGACATTTTAAGATGTAAAGACACTCATAAAGCACATGAAGACCTTAGACAAAAGACCTCAAACCTTTGTAATTCTTAGTCTAAATTTCAGTATGATGTACCTTCTCTGCATTTGGTATTTCCTTCAGAAAAGGAATACAATTTTTCCCATTTGGGAAGTTATTCATTCTCAAGTACAAGAAATTTCCTGAAAAACGGGGTGAATCTAAGGTTTCAACCTCAGCTTAAATATGAATTTAAATAGAACACAAAAACTTTAAGTTCAATATATGTTTTTATAAACATTTTAAGCTTATATGCTACTTATATTATAAAAAAGCTATTAAAATTATTTAAGTTTCATATGGCTAAAAGTTGATATGCAGGATCCTTAAAAATGCCTGGAAGAGAGATAGTCTCAACTCACTAATCAATTACTTGTCCTCAAAAATATCTATAACTGCCCTTGTAAATTCAAATCATTAAGTGAAACAAAGGCTGAGGGTGTCCTTTGTGACAAAATCCTTTATTGCAGACAAATATACCATAGTCAGGTCCACAACATAAAAGTTCACTGCAAGTGAACCCAGCCCTGTGTGATTCAACATAGCACAAACCTTCATCTTGTTGTAATAGAACTCTATTTTACAGGGGACACCAAAGTCATTTTCCAGTTCCTCACATCTATACTGCCCTGAGCTTTGGGGATTACAGATCCTGACTTTGCAGCAGACTCTTACAATATATCTATAATAATTAAGAAAGAGAAAGAAACACGGAGACATTTTCATTGTCCTGGGAAAATTTTTGACAAAACAATTCTTACAGAGGTACACAAAAGAGATCTGCTAAGAGCCTGTCACTAATCTGGATCAGATGCTCTTTACTTGTACCGCTGCTGTGCATACCAGGCAGCATCTTAAAGCAAAAAACTGTAACAAATGGCACAACATGATGTGATTGTAGAGGCATCTGTAGATGTCTCTGCATGTTACTTGTCTGTGCCTGTATCTGCATTTCCACAGTGCTTGGTGTGGTCTCATGTTTAGTTTTTTCTTCTCATGGAATCTTACTCCAAAATTTATATACCTCATTTACCCTTATCACCAAGTTTAACCATCTCCAGTACTTTTTCCTCTTTCTAACATGTAACAAACCTATATGAGTACCTTTCATTTTCTCTGATCACTTCCACTTAATCTTTAGTGTCCTTCTAGATATAAATTAGCTACCTTATTGACTACATATGCTTTCATTTTTCTCCCCATAATTGCAATTGCCGTTGAAAACACAATGTGTTTTTTAGTTTGGATTGTTAAATGTGACAAATGATGCTGCTTCTTTGACTGAGGAAGTATAAATAGCATATGTCAACCTATAAATACTGATATTAAAAGTGAAAGATAATTGTTTGACTCTGAAGCAGCAATAACACAGAATAATTCAAAAAGACAAGTGAACGAAAGTTGAGATAAGTTGTACTGTTACATCCATACTAAATTATCTTGGCTTTCCTTTCTACACTTTATCAATTACTTGCAAGGATTACTATTCTCTTTCTGATGAGTGTGTTTAAGGAGAGAAGTCAATAGATATCACTCCTGGTTATTGCTCAGGCCATAACCTCTACAGGTGTGAGCCTTGCAGAAACTGCCTCCCAGGTGCCTCCATAACAGAGTCACATCATGGGGCAAAAATACACATTAAAACATCAACTTGAATGACCCAGTCTGCTTCGCTCTAATTCTGCACAGTAATTGTCAGAACAGTTGTCCAGATACTTCTACTGAACTATATATTTTTCTTCATATACCTATCTGGAAACATGAGCACACATGCCATTCCTGTGGCAAGGAATGGCTATATTTTATCTGAAAGAACAACAAAACAGATGATGACCTTTCCTTTCAAATCATCTGGGGGAAAGAAAATACTAAAAAATATTTTAAAAACATATACATTTTTAAAATTTGATTCAAAAAATTACCTCCCTACAGCCTTCAACTTCAATGAGTCAGTAGACCCTAAATAAAAAATTAGCAGCAGGTTTTTTCAGTTTCTTTGTTTGCACAGAATCTGTTACAGTGCTGTAAGGAGAAGAGGAACCAATAATTGGTAACTCCGTTGGGTCATGTCTGGGAGTCAGTATCCTTCACGGAAGATCACAATAGAAAAAAGTTTTTAAAAACAGCCTAAATAGTGATGTTTTTGGTAAATGCACATGAGTGCTTAATCAGGCTGCTCAGAATTAATAAATTGGGCAATAAACTGTGATTGCACAAATAAAGTTTTAACAAAACCATCTTATTGTCAACAAAAAACTATAATTTCATATAAATCACTGGTCACTAAATATCATACCTACTGACAACATTTTTTTTTTAATCTTAAAAGTTTTATAGCACTTTGGTGGCAAGCAATCTAAAATCTGTGCTGCTAAGTTGGTTATCAAAGCTTAGTGCAGCTACAATGCTGTAGCTGAGTAATGTTAAAATTTGAGAAGCATTGAGAGCATGATATTTGCAGTGCTTGACAATTTCAGAGTCTTACATTTAAAGTCTTTTCAGGTGAAAAAGTGTGAGGCAGCTTATTCCATACCTTATCTTTCAGCACACTAACCTCCCGTGCTAGATGAGACCAGTATCATTGTGCAACTGATCAGTTGCTAAATGCATTCAAAAATATAAATACCTAGATCTCACATAATCAGTTATGCTACAAACACAACTTCATAAATATATTAACTACTCACTGAAGAGTTCCAGTGGCTGACCAGGTCAGTAAGAGATTTTATGCATTCCACATGACAACTGCAGTTATTGAGGTTTGAAAAGGAAAGGAAAGAACACTTATTGTAAGAGAAAGGGGAATGAAAAAGAATTCAGAAGTAATATGGAAGATGTGCAGACAGTAGGAATATAATAAACAACTGATAAGCTCAAGATGAAATGTTGGAATCAATTGAATGTGAATATTTGCAGAAACTATTTTTGTCTAACAGAATAGGGGACTATTACTGAAGCACCCCTGCAAAACTCAGCTCTGGAAAATATGCTTTGCATTTGAAGTAGCAGAGAGTTGCATGCAATTTCAAAAGTAATATCATAAACTAGATTTGTAACAGGTATTTCCCCTTTCTGGAATGAAATCCATTGTTGTCAGAGTATAACATCTTGAGTTTTGTATCCCTGAATATTAACTCACTCAAACAACAACACAGCTTTATTTAAATGCATATTTCCAAAATGAAAAATGGTCTCTAGATTTGACTGCTTAGATTGTTTCACTGCTGCCTGTCAACCCTCAAAAATTATTTATCTCTCAAGACTTCAGATTCTTCACTAATAATGGGGATGAGCATCATCTGACCTGAAGTACCCATAATTACATGACTTGCAAGTTGTTCTTAAAGACTCTTGTAATAATTAAAGACTCAGGATTTTTGCTCTTCCCTAAGGCATTTTCAGTTACTTTTATAATAATACATTAATAAAGGACACTGTCCTTCGGCCTTTTGTTTTCCTGGAGCCAAAAATGGCATTTTTGATGTAAGTTACATGTGGTTGCTAGAGAAAAAAATAACTCATTCCTTAAATAAATGCTATGAATAAGAGCACTTAGATGAAAGATTAGTAGGAGAATTACTTTGTCGCATCTAAACATTTACTTTAAGGCATACTTCATACTATAATACTAATCTGCTTTCCACAGACCTCAATGGCATGTCTTATGTGATAATTTCCCCATAAATTATAACTATTAGGTCAAATTGCAGATTCCAAATACTAAATTACAGCAAATGGCACTTAAGGATAAAATTGCTACAATTGACACAGGATATTTTCTACCTTTACAGATTGGTCATTCCAACAACAAATGAGTTTCAGCAATGAAATGCTCCCAAAGTCTGGGGAATGATATCTACTCTTACCTGAAAAACACACAGATAGTTTATGAACTGACAATATATAGAGAAGCACACAAACAGAAAAATATTTTAACATTTTTGAATTTTCAGCAACATACTTGAAAAGATCTGGAAAAATGTAATTTCTTAGAACATGCTTTCATCCAATACAATAAGCACAAGGTGTTCAGACAGTCTATTACTTTAACATTTATTCTCATCCCAAATTCAATTAGTGTTGGGTTTTTGGGCGGTTTATTTCTGGTTTTTTTTTTTTTTTTTCTTCGTTTGGTTGGTTTTGGGGGTTTTTTTTTTTGGTTTTTTTAAAACAAGGAATTGATATCCCATGTAGCATTCTTTCATCACAACTTTCTAAATATATTAAGAATACTTTCTGTGTTTTGGATTACTTAACTATGCATTCCCTGTCCTGCTGTCCAGTCTGTCCTTGATGCTAAAGAACAGGTTGTTCCTAGAATCTCTGCTATCTGCAAGTTTCAGATCAGATTTTAATTTGTAAATCTGAACAACTGTATGAACTAGGAGATATGGCATATGAGTTAGATTACCTTAGAATTTTTAGGTCACTCAGTAAATCTATTTTTATGCTCATGAACATTTTAGTCACCATTTCCACGTGTTTCCTCTACTTGTTTTCTATGGTCACTTGATTTTATGTTCCATCTCTTTTTTCCAATGGACATTTCTGCTGTCATTGCAAGTTCTACAGTTGTGGCACATATTAGACTCAGAGAAGAAAAGGTAGCTAATTTTTGATGGGGATATTAAGGTTTACTTACACAGCACAGCATCAAGATTTGATGTAAAAGAATTTGTGTTTTCCGTCTAGACATGGCTTATTCTGTAAGAAGAACACTATATTTTTCAGGTAATATGTACTGAAAATGTCCATATTCTGTTTAGGTTTTTATTTAAATGTTCTTTGGTTAGTTACAATCTGCAAACAAACCAAGGCTGGCTTGCAAAGCCAAGATTGACGAGCGATGGCCTGTGGGACATTAACAGGAACAGATTACTTTATTCTGCCCTGAGCCAGAAGTCTAAAGGCATTATTGAACAGTCAGGATGGCTCTTGTATTACTAAGGCAACAGTTTGCTTGGAGGGCTGTATATATTATTGGGTGGGCACGTAATGGTGATGAGGGAGATGGGGGAAGGGGGTGAGGGCAGTGTTTGTCTTATTACATTGCTGTTTTTCTGATTGCTGGAAAGTGTCTTTAGAAACTCAACTAAACATCTTGTCATAACAGGAAAAATATCATTGATTCCAGTTAACACTTTGTTTACACATTTTTCATGATATTCACAAAAGAAACAGAGTAATTCAGTTTCTCTGATCACAGACTGGACAGCATAAAGAGCAACATTTTTTTATCATTATTGAAATTCAATTCCATATTTTAGCAACAAAAAGCATGCAAAACCAGAACACTTAAAAGTTAATACTGCCAATTCACATACTTACTGCTTGGTAATTGTGCATAAAAATTGGGGCATGAAAGTGTTATGTCTTCTACATTTCGCCATTTGTCATGTACAGATTCTGGTTTCTGTGGGCTTAAAGAACATGAAACTATTAAACAAAACCTGAACACACATACGAGAAATCTTATGTATTAAGGTAGAGTTGGGGTTTTTTTACAGTAGGTACTCTGATATCAATCACTATCAACCCCAATTAAGTCTCTCCTCAGAAGTCACTTGCATTCTTTTGTCTATAACTTGGGATTGAAACATTCATAAATATACAACACTGAAAAGTCCCATCCAAATGCAGGAACTTAAGCCTAATAAACTTTGAGCCAAATGTGAAGCTTTATTTTGAAATAAAGAAACAAATTTATATGTAAAGAACTGAATCAAAATACCATTTTCACAAAAGAATTTGTTTGGGTTTTTTCCTAATACACAGGACAAAAGTTCAAGGGAAACTAAAAGCCTTTTTTAATAGGTTTCCCTTTTATTTCCTCAGTGGTAAATAATTTAGAGTATCATTACAATATTTGGGACTTCAGTGGATGGCTACAATTTAAGAGACTAATGTGTACATATGCTTGCTCTTTCTGAGTCACTAACTCAGCAACCTAACCCTTGAAAACAATAGATATGGATGGCAGAGAAAGTAAAAAAAAAAAACACTCAAAACCCTTGCACAATTTAGAACTATTTCTCTTACAAAAATCTCTATAGTGCCCTGAAAAAACTACATTTATGTATCATTTTTAAAATAATATATTTGTCTTTCAAATTCACTACAAATGAACAGTGAGTCATGCCATTTCAAAAGACTTTGCATACCAAACAACGCTGAAAGCTTGCAGCTTGAGAGCTGTAAGTTCGAGGCACAAATGTTAAAAAGCAGGAGGAAACAAATTTGTTGAAGATATTTTCTTCCCAGCTTATTCCTCTCTCTGTCCCACTTTAATGATCTGACACATTTTGCTGCAGGTTCCTTTATTTTCACAGTCTGTGTCAAGTTGCAAAAAACCAACAGATAGACAAACACCAGAACCCATGCAAGCTGTGAGAGCTGTCCTACTAACTGCTTCTGCAAATATTGTGGTGAATTTGAATTCAGTATGTAGGTTTCTTTTCCCTTGAGCATACTGCAGTTTTAGATAAAGCAACCATCCAAAGAGGTTTGGCTGCATACTGTACTTTTTGGAGGAAAAATCACCAAAATAACATTTGTTAAAGATGGTAGGGTTTATATCTTTACGTATCCTAGAGAAAACTTAAAAGTATATAGTATAGTTCAGAGGGGAGGTGGTGGAGGGGGGAGGCTTTATTTTTCCTTGCAGCAACTTTAATATCTATAATTTTACAGGATATATGTCTCAAAGCCAGGATGCACATGTCTGGGAAAAAATGTTTGATTTTGGTATGCTCATTAATTTCAATTACACAATGTCTTTCCAAAAGGCAAGCATAAAGTACTTTTTTTGTATGGAAAGGAATTCCTGTTCAAGCTGGAATCCTGAAACAAGTATTCATGTAAGAGTTTTTATTGAATATGGACCAATAGGCAACACAATTAGCAGCAAAAGTAAACGAGAAATGTGCATTTGTCCTGCAGGATGGTGCACATGTCTTGAGAGAGGCTGAGTGCCTAGAGCTTTGTGGGAGATGCAGATATTTGCTGCAAGATCAATATTTTCTGTCCCCTCTTCTTGCCTTGGGGCCATAGCATCACCAACACTGAAGTTAATTGTCCCTAAAAAACTAAATACAGACCAACACTATGTTTGCCAAACAACAAAAAATTCATGGGCAATATCCGTTGCCTGATTAGCATGCTCTATTTGGCTTGGTCAAATAATGTTGAGCATGTTATTTTTCCTTTAATGCTGAAAAAGCATTTAGTCAATAAATTTGCTTTGAGTAACATAAATGCTACTTGAGATGGTTCTCACAACATAAGGGCTGATGAGGCATTCATTCCCAGGAGCTGCCATCATTACTGGAGGCATTGTACTTCAGATAGTATAACTAGGGCAGACTATTCTTCTCTCTTATGTTTTATTTATCTGTGAAGTCAAGGGTTCCACGGCAAAGAAAGTATATTGCTTATAGGGAGTGGAAGTTTAAACAGCACAAATGTGCTTAATGCGCATCTCACTGTGCCTAAAGAGACCTCATTATTCTACTTAGTTTGAACTGCAAGGAAAAGAGTGATCTCTGGAAAAACTGGGTGTGAAGCTGGATAAGTCAAGTTCTTGGTCTTATGAAAAAAATCTTGCATCTGTTCTCATCTGCTAAACAGAAAAATGTAAAGACAATTATATCCCCATCTCCTTTTCTTCAAAGAACATGTGAAAAACTCTACAGAAAGAACATAAGCTCCATTTAAGAAGTATATATGTAAGAAAAGTTTGTTTCATTTTTCATGACTACAAAGGAAGACTCAGACTATTCTTAGCTGTAAGGGACCCAGAACGACTATCAAGTCCACCTCTTGAGCGAATGGCCTATACAGGGACTGGACCCACAACCTCAGTGATATTAGCACTATGCTCTAAACAACTGAGCTAATCTCAGAGTCCTACAGAAGGAGTGCAGAAGCTCAAAGTATGGAGACATACTTGTTGAAGATCCTCTTCCCAAAAGGTATGTGACACTGTGTGTTACCTAACAAGCCTTTCAGAGGTAAGGTTTGGGGTAGGAATAATACCAATTCAATGATTTATGTTTAGAGATTACTCTGCTGTGACTTGTTCTTTGAAATCAAGATATTGGCTTGGTGTTTTATTTTAAGGCATGCTTCATTTTTGTGTGTTTTTGGGACAGAAAAGTATAACCAAGTGCATTAGTGTGACTTGGAGGAATTGGGTTTGGATGTAGAGACATAAGAAAATACAATCCGCTCATAATGAAGTTCTTACCTTTCAATTTCATCCGTAACTGCTGAAGGTGTGTTAATTATCCTGTTGATTAATGCTATTCTGCTAAATAAGAAAAATAATGTTTCCAAGTCCCTTGTTCCATAATCATTATTCTCAGGTCCATCCTTCTTTCCAAATTGTCCTTGAGTTGCAACAAGGTATTTGTTTGATAAATCAAGGACTCTTTTTGAAAACAAATTGAAAACTCCATGTTCACCTAGCCCACCACAGTCAGTGCATTTCCATCCTGGCAACATCAGTGAGAGGTGGCTTTCATCTGACACAAGTCCAAAAGAAACAGGACACTGAAGCCTCAAGATGTTCAGGTGTCTTACACAGAGATTGTCTATTTCTTTATCTACACCCCATGGTAGAAGACATGACAAAAGCAGTTTAGCTGTATCGGTTGCAATGTTCATATCGATGTTTCCTGATTCTTTCTGCATTCTGATCTTTCTTGAACTCTTCATTTTTTTCCATCTTTTTATGCCACCACCTTCTTCCATAGGCCTAGCTGGATTATTATCCCTGTGAACTTGGTCTGAATAAACAGTCTCTTCCTGCCCATCTACTTGAGGTACAAAGGCAGCAGTTTTATTTCTTTTTAATGTCAGTGCCCTTTTCTCAGAAGTACTTTTAGCTCTTTCTAGAGTGTATTGGTTGTGGAATGATTTTGATGACTTTAATCCATTGAGTTGAGATGAGAGGAGTTCCTCAAGTTTTTCCAGGTCAAATAAGAGAATGTGAAAGTTTGCACTGTTCCATTTTGTCTTAGCCGGTAAAATAGTAAAGGGCTGTTGGATGCAGCTGGTATCAGTCAACTGAAAGAAAAATATTGAATGTCTAAACAAAAATCTAACAGTTCTTTGTAATTTTCAAGATATAAGCATAGAATTGCCTATGGAATACAGAAAATCTATTAACTCTGTTACATTTAATTAAATTATATTTATTCAGTTTTGGTTAAGTAAAACACATTTGCTTCCAAGTAGCTTGAGATACACAGAGACATCAGTGGGTAAATACTATAAAACAGGCTCCTTCAATTACACAGCCATACTGCAGATAGTAGCATGTATCTTTGCAAAAAAAATCTAGGCTGGTATTTTCTTCTGCTAAGTCTCATTTCAAGTTAAAAGGATTTCTGGAAAATTTTAAAGCATAAAACCTTTGTTTTTTCAAAATAAAGCTAGAGAAGCAAATGCTACAATGCTGCAAGACTCTTGCAAACCCTGAATGTGTATATGTGTCTGTATGCCTTTTTACAATTTGCTATATAGGAGGCATTTATAAATATAGGGGATTTGTAGGGGATAAAGACTACACCTTTTGCTATTTCAAAGCATGCAAAACTACCTCCTTTTGAGAGAAGTCACAAAGCAAGAACAATAAGGAACCTAGGTAAATAAATCTCCACACACACAATTAATTACCTTAGCTGAAAATAATTAAGAGAAAAAGGCTACTACAATGTTTGTGAACATCTGACTATCTTGTGCCACCCCATTTTCCTACCTGCATCTTTACTAGAATTCTCCATACTTTTCTCCCCAGCTCTGAAGCCCATTCACAGTAATGGCCATTTATAAAGCATAATTTCAATTCTACATACTAACATAATAAATACACATAGCTAATTGTGTTGCTAATAAATGAACAAAGAACATATTTTTTGAAACCAGAAGATTTGAGAGGAGCTGCAGTTGCTCTCAGCTTCAGAATCACATGTTAAACTGTAGAAGTAACTGAATGATGATGAACAGTCAGCTGAACATAAGGAAATGCTCAAAATCATGTTCACCAATAAAAAGAAAAAATTACTCCATTTTAGCCTTGCAGTTTCATTATTTACATGAGAACTTGTCATTAAGAAGAAAATTTTACATCTTTTCTTTTACCAGTGCCCTTGGCACCGGGTGGACACTATGCTGTGACAAACTCCAGTGGGCAGGATGTCTTTGAAAATGACCTGATGAGTTCACACAGTGACACAACATCTTGTGTCATAATCCTGCAGCACCTACCAAAGAAGTGTGTTTTACCTTCAGGGAAACACCAGAAGAGAGGGAATATGAATTCCTTGTTGACACTTCTGCCCTTTCCTTTAAGCATTTACGACTGGTATGTTTTTATTGTCCTGAACAAACTTATGCACTCAGCACCATGCTCAGCCTATTTCACCTTCACAAGCAGAAAGACACATCAAGAAGCAACTTTTCATGTCAGTAATACTTTTGCAAACCATCATGCCAGCTTCTATATCACAAATGATACAGAATTTTCCAGCCCTTTCTTAGTTTTAATTTTCTTTTGACAATTTGAAGCATTCCACTAATGCAAAGGACTTTCTGTTGAACATAGTTAAATCTCAAAATAAACCATCAAGTGTTAGTAAACAGAGCAGCAACCAGCTCTTGCTGGAATGCAATGTTGTTTACCTCATCTTTCTCATGACCACCTTACCTAACTCCTTTTACATTACAAACTATTATTTTATAGGATTAGCTATTTTAAAATTGTTAATATTTTAGTACAAATAACATGAGCAAAAAATTGACTGCAAAAACTCTATGACGTGACTATTTAGTTTTGGGCAGTAATACAATTTGGTTTTCTGTTATTTAGGGAATGATGCTCCCAACCAGATGAGAATGTACTCTAAATACATAATCTCATTTAAAGATCTCCATAGGGAGTCATAAGTAAGAGATTATAATTGCTTGTTCAGGTTTTTTTATCCCTTTCCTTAAAAAAAAAAAAAAAAACAAAAAAACAAAAAAAAAAAAAAAAAAAAAAAAACCAAAAAAAAAACAACAACAAAAAAAAAAAAACCAAAAAGCATTGTATTTAAATACTAAGATTATTTTAATCTTTAATTATGATGTTTCCTAATAGATAGGGAGAACCCCATGGAATGCAAATACTGGAATTCACAGGCTAGCTTTGACATTAATTGAAATCATTATTATTTAGCCTATCATTTTCTCTTTCTATACTTATATTTGCTTGATTAACATTTAGAAACCTTTAGTGAAATCAGCATCCAAACAAAGGAAAACATAGTGACAATGCCAATCCATTGAGACATCTGGTGATGCTACTACACGTGAAGTCACAATAAACATTCATGTTCTATTGGCAATATGAAAGCTTATTGACATTGATCCTAAAACTGTCTGCCAAGTTATCTTAGCTCTCTGCAACAGGCATTTCATTCCAATGAAAGAAGGTGGACATCCAAAGCTTTAGACATAAAATGCCATTTAGGATCTATGGGCAAGTTATTCTCTGTAGTAGAAGATTACAGAGAATGGAAAGACACTCAAAACTAACTACAAACTAGAGAGCTGGAAACTGCTTTTGTTGAGTATTGAAAAACAGATTAATAGATATTTACATTATATATTGTACCTTCCTTTTCTAGTTTAACCATTTCTAGTTTTAAAGTTTATCTTTGACATCCTACTGTTAGTTTTAAAGAAGCAAAAAGTCTGACTACAGACTAATATTATATCCTAAGACTTCTGAAACTCTTGTACATCACTGACCCACAGCAGAAAATGCTTTCTATATTCAGGAAAGAGCAAGATTCAGGGAGGCTTTGAAAAGCCAAGCTATTTTCCATGCATGGCCAATATCCCCTAACATCTCTCCAGCTTGCCACTGAAGATGTTTGAGCCAGGATCAGACAAGAGCTAGAATAAACTATTTCAGTTGAAAGGGAACTACAAGGATCATTTAGTCCAACTAGGCTCTCCAAATGCCCCTTAAACACTCACTGGCTTGGGGCATTGTACACATCTCTCAGAAGCCTGTTCCAGTTTTTTGGCATGCAATTCATCACTGCTCTACAAGTTACAACCCTATTCCTCTACATCTTTTCCCCTTTACTTATTCTTAACACCCAAGGAAAATTTTCCTGTGACTATGGGAAGGGGGCAGCAGGGGGCTGTACTTACTGTGGCCCCCAACTGCATCAATACATGCCATTATCTTCAACAGATTTAGGACAGACATATCACATAAAAATTTCATGGCAAGTACAATTCAAGTGTTATTTTACCTAGCTGCCTTCTCATCTCTAAAGGCCTTTTTCCACTGGGATCCACCTTGTTCTGGGAATGGTATTCCACTTAAAATATACACTTCCATTAGCTGACAGGGATTCCCATACTTTTTCAGCTCCTTATAGGTATGCACTTTCTCCACGTATCTGCTTTCTTTACAAGAAGCACTCTATTGTGGGTTTTGTACTAAAACCAGATTTGACAGGAATGATCTTGACGTTCATTTTACATAAAGGAAATAAAGGGGCAAAAAATCACAAGACAAAAATTTTAGAAAGCAAAATACCAGCACCAGCATTCAAAATATACTTAGACACTGCTGTGATACCACTGAATAGAAGTTGCACAGTTCACAAAGCACAAGTAGTACCCAATCCTATGCCAAGCAAGTCCTGAAGTATTAAATGTGACTTTTCTTCTAGACTTATGGCCTTCTTTATTCATTGCACTCTCACTTTATCCCAAAACATAACAGGATAAAAGTGGCAGAAAATTGGTCCCAAAGTTCCCAGTGCCTGCAGAATGAATCATGATGTACAAACTCTAAGTGGGAGCTATCCTGTTGATAGCTCATGAATAAGTTTTTTAAATTATGTAATATTTAAGGGGTCTAATTTTGTTCCTTTGAGCTTTCCCCTTTGAAATAACATATTTTGATTCATTAACACTGAACAGGTTCAATCCCCTCTTTTATCCATTGCTTGCCGCCTGCAAAGGCTTAGGAAAATATTAGACAAAGCTGAACAACTTCAATGGGAATTTTTAGGTAGATTAGGCAGGGGGAGACTGGAGAGATGTGTGGAGCTTATGTGAAATTATGCCAGAGACTGAAAGGTTGTTTCATTCATAGAAGGTGCAGTGCTGTTTTATTTTTCTTGAGGTTAGGAATTTTCTATTTCTGATTTGCTTGAGAGTTTGGAGGTTTTTTAAGATATGTACCTTTATATTTTGACAGCAAATAGGCCATTGCCTTTTAATACAGATACAACAGCTCACTGAATGACATGATAAAAGAATAAGTCTTACCTGATGGACTTTTAGAGAGTAATTGTTTCCTTATTAAACAAACTTACTGTTAATAAATTAATGCAAACAATCATTAAAATACCAGCACCCTACTGTTTGCTCTGTGAAGATACTCTGTGAATATCCAATTGTATGATATATTTTCAAACAAGATTTTTTAATCAATACCCAATACTGAATCATCAAAACCGCCATATCTTATAGGCTCTAGGAAGTTTTTTGACATGACAATTTTTGAAATATGACAATGATGTCTGATAATATCAATATGCTTATTTCAATGAAGTTAATAATAGTTTTTGTAATTAACAATACACATTTTGCTTTTAAAAAACTAAATTGTGGAGAACCTGCTACAGAAATGAAAGAGGAGTGTAGTAGAATTTGTCAAACAAATTTGTTGATGGGTGAGAATTTTCTGTCTTGATCAGGTCAGTCACTTGATTGTCAACAGAAGTTCAGAGGTCATAACTTCTCAGAATCACATCTCATCACTGATCTGGCTCTAGGCTCACAAAAAATAAGTACATCACACATCTGCTTGTAAAAGCTATTTAGGTACTCCTACCCTCCTGTTACATTTGCACTTTGTGGAGATTGAAGAACTGTTAACTGAAGCATGATTACCACACCTAAGGGTCTTATACATTAAATTATACTGCCAATGACAGCTCTATTTTATTCTACATTGTTTTATTCTTGCTGGTGGGAAAGAACACCTGTGTTAG